TACTAGGCCCAAAGTGCAGGGGGAATGTATCTTTACCGTGAATTGATGTCAAATTCACGGGCAGGATGTGGTTTATAAGAGGACAGGGTAGTTGTAGGGGGGGGGGCTGGAATTCAGAATTATGCATCGTGTGTTTCCATACTTTTCCCTAAATAAATTAACAGTCTTGCTGTACATTCTGTAAATTTACACGAGATTCGAAAATCTTTTTTGGGTACCAAAAGAATTCATTCATTAAACTCAGAAAATTTGTTCTTAACAATTGTTCCTCTTCCTTCAAGAAAATTATTCTCAATTTCTCATAAAAAATAGTAAAATAAAATATTCTTATCCTTTGTTTAATTAATAGTAAAATACACGGTTTCAGTCCATGTATTACAGTTTGAATGTTCTCACTGACCTGTCGCTACCTCTACTTTTGGGTTCGAACGGGGAAGACGAACAATGTTTAGACAGGGTAAAATAGGTGTATTGAAAAAAATGATCATCTCTTTAATGTTTTCCGTCTTGGTTATTGACGGAAGGGAGGTATTTGTTAATTTTGTCAAAAATAGAGAGGAGGTTTTTGCTAAAATGAAACTATAGGGGAGAGTTTTGTATTTTACCCTTAAAAATATATACTACCATTGTTTGAAATAAATAATGATTTAATTTAATTAATAGTAATGTTTATTATTATTAACTAATAATAATAAAACATTTTAATTATTATTAATAAAAATATTCTTATTACTATATAAATATTATTTATTTAAATAAGGAAATAATAATATTTATTAATTAATAATAAAAATTTTAAACAATATTGAATTATTAATTTTATTAAATAATATTTATAAATTATTATTGTTATCATTATTAATAAACATATCATTATTTAATACTAATACTAATACTAATACTACTACTACTACTACTACTACTACTACTACTACTACTAATAATAATAATAATAATAATAATAATAATAATAATAATATTCTTCTTCTTCTTCTTCTTCTTCTTCTTCTTCTTCTTCTTATTATTATTATTATTATTATTAATTATTATTATTAGTAATGAGGGTAGTGATGTCATTTTATCACATTTGAAATGTGTTTGATTTTGATAAGACATAAAATCAGGTCTTACCATTTTCAGATCTAAATTTGTGTTTCAAATCTTCTAATCAGAGCTAAACCCAAGGTTTAGTTTGGAAGGAATACAAATACAAAATTGTAGAGTACAAAACCTTATATTTTGTATTATTTTGTCTGTATTTGCACTGTACATATTTGTATTTATACTATTTCAAATCAAGCCTAAATGTTAGTGGGGGCCTAAAAAGCAAAAATTTTCAGACCTCATGCGTCTGAAAAGTGCTATCAAACAAAAACTGGATCCAGTCAATGCAAACCCCATTCGAACAGTCTTTATAGAAATACGAAGATATTCCCAATGCAAGGTTGTAAAAGCTGTTCGAACGGTGTTCGGAATTTGCACTGACCGAAGCCAATCTCTATCAAACACTACCTAAAGTTAGATGCTCTATCACTTTTTGACAAGAGTTGTGATAGTTTGAGGGTTGGAGAAGCATATCCGTGAATCTAAATCTACTACATACTACAATAGCCTCTTGCAGGTAGCACATCCAAACTTCATACACACTAAAGGGTGTTCATTATATGTTTTGCGATGTAAATGCAAAACTACACCAATGAAGTTTAACAACGGTTTGATGTTTGAGTGTAAAAAGCAAACATGCATTATACTCATTTCACACTCTTGTGCATTTGATGATGTAAACATAGCGTTGCGTTCTTGTATGCGTTTAGAAAATATTCTTCGAATGCAAATCTCCACCCTCCCCAATTCTCTCTTTTCTCGTGGATGAAATGATTTTCAGAACTTAGAAGTCTAAACTCTGAAGTTGAAAACATTTCCTCCCCTCTCTTGGGTTAGAAAAAAGAGGGAAAACTTGACTTCCAAGTAGTTCAACACAGTTTGACCGTTGGCGTTGATGCTTTGATTGGCAAACTTGAGCTCCGCAACATACAAAATTTCTTTTGGAAGAATATAGTATGTCGTTTCGGGCTACCTTGAGTACTTATCTCCGACAACGGAAAACAATTCAAGGATATCAAGTTCCAGAATTGGTGTGCCGAGATGGAGATACAACAAAACTTCACCTCGGTGGCACACCCTCAGGCAAATGGGCAAGGAGAGGTCACGAACAGGGCCATACTCCGTGGACCAAAGGCTCGCTGATGAGAATAAAAATTATCATATTTTTATCCCTTAATATTCAATCTTTTACACTTATTTAGTACTTAATTGGACTCACTATTCTTGTATTTCAATCTAGGGCACGAAAGAAGGCGTAGGGTGAAAAACAAGGTTAATCGGGTAATTTTGTACAATTTTGGCGCCGTACAGTAATTTGGGCATAACTCTCCCACCCAGACTTAGATTGAGATGATTCAAGATGCATTGAAAAGATAAGGAAAAACTCTACAATTTTTATGCTTTGGGTTTTGATAGACATAGACTACATCGATGTCAAAATCGAGCCCGAATTCTAAACCAATTCGTAGAGAAGCCCAGTTCGCAGCAGAAGCCCAATTCGTAGAGAAGCCTTGCAGCGGCCCAATTCATTGAAGAAGCCCAATACGAATGCAAGAATAAGAAACATCAAAGAGTCCTATCAGATTCAATTTTCTATTGTATTTATAGAAGGATAAAAGAGATTAAGATTACCAGTTAGGAGATAGGAGTAGATTAGATCTAATGTAAGCATTATCTATTAGAGAACTAAACTCCCAATGAAGAAAGAACTCCTTAGAGGAGCAGGAGACAACTCCCTCTTAAGTCTATATAAAGGGGGCGGACTAGCACCCAAGGCACCACTCAACCTTGGGGGAGAAGAACTCAGCAAGCAAGGGAGAAAGAAAGCAGATTGGGAGCAGTCGAACCTCTCTTCTCCTCTCTTCTCTTCTCTTCACCCCTCTTTTTCATTATCTGATTTTCTTGGAGTTTTGACCATGACCATGCGTGGCTAAACTCTTGTACTTGGTTGAAGGAAGCAGAAGCCTCAAAATCCACCAAATTGTGAGATCTAATTTAGTTTTTATTGTTTAATTTATGCTTGAAATATCGAATGTTCTTCTATGTTTATATATATGATTGTTACGTTTAATTGCTAGGAAGGCCTACTAGTTTATTATTCCTTACAATCTATTGCTAGATTAGATATCAAATCCGTAATTGTTTGATCCCTCTTATATGTGAAGCAACTAGGGTTTAATGATTTGCTGCGTCAGAAATTGTTAGATCCTAGGAAGAACAATCGACTAAATTAAATGCAACCGCTTGTGCTTGTGTTGTTTAGCTTCATCGATCTCTAATGCTTAATGCTATTGTTGGATTAAATCTTTAATGCTTGTTTAGGGGTTGTTCAGTAGTAAGGGTTAAGAGGATCGCTTGTTTTCCGATTAGCTGATAGTAGGAAGATGCAGGAAATTAATTCCTACGATGAATATTCAGTCTGAATTGATTTATCTTTGCATTGATGAGCAATAGTGTAATTCTGATGGTGGATGTTATCCTAGACCAAGATTTGTTCCTTTATTAATTTCAGCACTAGAAGTTACCTAAATTCTCATTTAAATTGCGTTCTTTATTAATTCTGATTTTCCTTATTTTAAATCTGATTTTTGTTACATACACCCCCTCCATCTTTGATTCACGTAGCACATAATTTGGGTTAGATACTCTCTGTGGGAATGATCCCTACTCGCACTAGTACATTCCATCTTTACGAGTAGAGGTTTATTTTTGGGTGCCTACGACAACACGCCAAATTTTGGCGTCGCTGTCGGGGAGTATTCTAATCAGTTTTGTGCTTCTCGTGATCATTGTTTAGTTTTCGAAATTTTTGAAAATTTTTTCCCTTTTTCTTTAGATCGCTTTGGTTGTTTGTGTTTTAGCATAGATTATTTTCTGTTTTATTCATTTATTTATTTGTTTAATCGTTCTCGATTTTTATTTGTATTTTTTTATTATTTTTATTTCTTTTATGGTATGTCGTTTAGGGTTTATTAGGTTTTCCTCAATTTATGTCTGTAACTCGATACTCTAAGAAAGGTGATTTGCAGTTTGATCCGGAAATTGAAGTGACTTTGCGCAGGTTAAGGAGGGAAGCTCGGAGTCTTTCTGAGGAGGGTTGGATCTAATTTGAGAGAAGAGGACATCATGGCTGGAAATCGAACCCTGAAAGAGCTGGCTGCACCGAATTTAAATCAACAACCCTTATGCATAACTTTTCCTGCTTTAGATGCTGATGTTAATTTTGAATTGAAATCTGGATTGATACATCTCTTACCCATTTTTCATGGTCTTGCAGGTGAGGACCCTCACAAGCACTTGAAGGAGCTGCATGTGGTATGCACGAGCATGAAACCCATGGGGGTAACTAAAGAGCAAATCAAATTGAGAGCCTTCTCGTTTTTTCTGAAGGATTCGGCTAAGGATTAGCTATATTATTTACCTTCTAGGAGTGTTACCACATGGAACGAGATGAGGAGACTATTCCTAGAAAAGTACTTCTCAGCTTCAAGGGTGGCCAATATTAGAAAAGAAATCTGCGGAATAAGGCAATACAATGGGGAGTCCCTACTTGAATACTGGGAACACTTTAAGAAGTTATGTGCAAGTTGTCCCCATCATCAAATCAGCGAATGACTACTTGTTCAGTATTTTTATGAGGGACTTCAACCTACTGATAGGAGCATGATCGATGCTGCTAGTGGAGGGGCTTTAGTGGATAAAACCTTCGAGGCCGCGAGAAATTTAATTGCTAATATGGAGGACAACTCTTAATAGTTCGGCTATAGGCTCAACCCTCCACCAAAGCATGCTAACAAGGTAAGTATCTCTTCCCTAGAACAACAAATTGCAAGTCTGACCTCTCTTGTCCGTCAAATGGCTGCAGGTAATATGCAAACGGTGAAGGCTTGTGGGATATGTTCGACAGTAGGGCATCCAACGGATATGTGCCCAACTCTTCAAGAGGATTCCGTCGAGTAACAGGTGGTTTTCCAGGGCAACCACAAAGGAAATATGATCCTTATTCGAGCATGTATAATCCGGGATGGAGGGATCACCTCAATCTAAGCTATGGGAATCCACAGAACCACCCAAGTTTCCCGCAGTGTCATCCGACTTTTCAGCAATATCAGTCGCACCCCCTAGACAATAGCCAGCCTAAACTTCTGATTCAGGTATGTCTTTAGAGGATATTGTTAAATCTCTTGCCACTAATACTTTGTTATTTCAACAGGAGATGAAACAATTTCAGCAGAAGACAAGGGCCAGTGTCCAACGTTTGGACAATCAGATGGGCCATATGGCGACGACAATTAATCGGTTAGAGGCACAAAGTTCGTGGAAATTACCCTCTCAAATGGTTGTGAATCCAAAAGAAAATGTAAGTGTAATCGTTTTGAGAAGTGGTAAAGAGGTTGAGGCACCAGCAAGGGCAGCCACCGCATTGTCGAACCAAGAAAAGGAGAAAGACATCACTCTAGATGGTGATGAAGTACCTAAGCGTAAATTTCCACCTCTTTCTGATTATAAACCGGTACCTCTTTTCCCTAATGCTTTAGCAGGATCTAGACAAGATGAGCAGTTTAAAGATTTTTATGAAACTTTTCATAGATGCGAGGCAAATATTCCCCTTTTTAATGCTCTTAAACAAGTACCTCATTATGCTAAATTTCTGAAAGAATTGTGTACACACAAGAGGAGATAGAAACTAAAAGGATGTGAAAAGGTGAGAGTTGGGGAGAATGTTTCTGCAGTTATTCAAAGAAAACTCCCTACAAAGTGCAAGGATCCAGGTATGTTCACTATCCCCTGCATGATAGGTAACACTAGAATTGAGAAGGCCATATTAGACTTAGGAGCTTCTATTAATGTCATGCCATATTCTATATATGCTTTTCTGAAACTTGGACCTTTAAATAAAACTGGTGTTGTGATTCAATTAGCTGATAGATCTAATGCCTATCCTAAGGGTGTAGTTGAGGATGTTCTTGTACAAGTAAATGATTTGGTTTTTCCTACTGATTTTTATGTGCTTGATATAGATAATGGTGATCAAACCACTCCTATTCTGCTAGGAAGACCATTTTTAAAAACATCCAAGACTAAGATAGATGTTTATAGTGGCACACTCACCATGGAATTTGATGGTAAGATTGTTAAGTTGAATATTTATGATGCTATGAAATATCCTACTGATGATACACCTATTTGTTCTCTTGATGCGATTGATTCTTTGGCACAGGAAATCTTTGAACTTAATGAAAAGGATGGATTAGAAGTCTCCATTAGTAAACATCTTGAGAAAGAGGAGCCAATGTTGAATGCTGATTTGCAGGAAACTGTTGCAGTATTGGATGATTCTCCAGACTTACAATAGTCAGGTAATGCTCCTTATGTTATATTGCCGATTTCTGATAGGAGACTTTTACCCTCTGTTTTGCAGGCCCCCATTCAAGAATTGAAGCCTCTCCCTAGCGACCTCAAGTACGTATTCCTTGAAGACGGAGAGACATTACCGGTGATCATCTCTAGTAGCCTTAGCGCACCACAAGAAGAGCAGCTTGTGCAGGTTCTCAAGGAGCATAAGACAACTATCGGTTGGATGATTGAGGATATCAAAGGAATCAGCCCGTCTACATGCATGCATCACATCTTATTTGAAGAGCAAGCAAAACCTTCCTGTCAACCACAAAGAAGGCTGAACCCACTCATGATGGATGGAAGGGGAAAGCACCGGAAGTTGCAACCACAAGAGTTAGAGGATCCAGTTTATTGTGATTAAAAACGGGGAAGTTTGTTTTTTCTTTTTCTTTTTGTTTTTGCATTTATAGTTTAGTTGTTTCTGCCCTTTCTTTGCATTTTACCCTACATTGGGGACAATGTAAGTTTTAAGTGTGGGGGATGGGATTTAGGTTAGAATTTAGGTTGTGTTTTAAAATTTGATTTAGGTCGTGTTTTTCTGCATTTAAAAAAAAACTAAACTCTTTTGAAATCAATTGAAACAATATTCTGGGAAAATTCTTGTGAACTGAGTAAAGAAATATGATCAAGGAGTACACCATTCATCTGAAGCCATCCCTTTTAAGCTAGTCCTAAATTCAGGTTTAAGTAAATAGGGTAAATATTTTTCCAAGAAATTCAATTGGTAGGACGGAGCATAAAATGCACCTACCAACCAAGCAATTCAATAGTAGGATGAATTATAAAATGCACCCACTAGCTAGCAATTCAAGCAGTAGGACGAAGCATAAAATGCACCTATTGACCAAGTAATCCTAACAGTGGAATGGAGCATAAAATGCACCCACTGACTAAGTCCTAAAAGTGAGATAGAGCATAAAATGCACTCACCTCCACCAAGGAGAGAAAAAAAAGAGAGCAAGTAAAAATGTTTTCCCTAGTTTACTACTTGGTTTGTAGTAGTAAAGAAGGGATTCGCTGATAGATGAGTTGAGTATAACTTGGTTGTGTTGACTTAATAGTTCACAATAACCGACCTAGGATATTTGTGGAAAAAGATGAAGGAAGCTTGAGTTTAAAGATCAGTAGGATAGTTATTTGTTTTGTTTTTGCTTGAATTTTGTCTTGCCCGAGGACGGGCAAGGTTTAAGTGTGGGGGGATTGAGAATAAAAATTATCATATTTTTATTCCTTAATATTCAGTTTTTTATACTTATTTAGTACCTAATTGGACTCACTATTCTTGTATTTCGATTTAGGGTATGAAAGAAGGCGTAGGGTGAAAACAAGGCTAATTGGGTAATTTTGCACAGTTTCGGCACCGTGCAGTAATCTGGGCATAACTCTCCTATCTGGACTCCGATTGAGATGATTCAAGATGCATTAGAAAGATAAGAAAAGACTATACAACTTTCATGTTTTGAGTTGTGATAGATTCGGATTGCATCGATGCCAAAATTGAGCCCGAAGTCTAAACAAATTTGTAGAGAAGCCCAGTTTGCAACAGAAGCCCAATGAGCAAAGAAGCCTTGCAGCAGCCCAATTCGTTAAAGAAGCCCAATACGAATGCAAGAATAAGAAACATCAAAKAGTCCTATCAGATTCAATTTTCTATTGTATTTCTAAAAGGATAAAAGAGATTAAGATTACCAGTTAGGAGATAGGAGTAGATTAGATCTAATCTAGGCATTATCTATTAGAGAACTAAACTCCCAATGAAGAAAGAACTCCTTAGAGGAGCAGGAGACAGCTCCCTCCTAAGTCTATATAAAGGGGGCGGACTAGCACCCAAGGCACCACTCAACCTTGGGGGAGAAGAACTCAGCAAGCAAGGCAGAAAGAAAGCAGATTGGGAGCAGTCGAACCTCTCTTCTCCTCTCTTCTCTTCTCTTCGCCCCTTTTCTTCATTATCTGATTTTCTTGGAGTTTTGACCATGACCATGTGTGGCTAAACTCTTGTACTTGGTTGAAGGAAGTAGAAACCTTAGAATCCACTAAACTGTGAGATCTAATTTAGTTTTTATTGTCTAATTCATGCTTAGGATATCAAATGTTCTTCTATGTTTATATATATGATTATTTCGTTTAATTGTTAGGAAGGCCTACTAGTTTATTATTCCTTACAATCTATTGCTAGATTAGATATCAAATCCGTAATTGTTTGATCCCTCTAATCTGTGAAGCAACTAGGGTTTAATGATTTGCTGCATCAGAAATTGTTAGATCCTAGGAAGAACAGTCGATTAAATTAAATGCAACCGCTTGTGCTTGTGTTGTTTAGCTTCATCGATCTCTAATGCTTAATGCTATTGCTGGATTAAATTTTTAACGCTTATTTAGGGGTTGTTCAGTAGTAAGGGTTAAGAGGATCGCTTGTTTTCCAATTAACTGATAGAAGGAAGACCGCCATGGGTGATACGCCCTTCAACTTCACCTATGACACGGAAGCAATGATCCCAACCGATATCGAGGTGCCTACGCTACGCTTGGAGGCCTATAACGAGGAAGCAAACGACGACGAGCTCTGTACCAACCTTGACTTGGTGGAAGAAGTACGGGACTTGGCATACATTCGGGCTGCAACCTACCAGTAGAGAGTGGCTCGGTACTGTAACGCTTGGGTCAAGAAACGACATTTCTGTGTTGGTGACCTAGTTCTTCGAAATATTATGGTACCTGAGCCCAGTGTTGGTAAGCTCGGACCGAACTAGGAAGGTCAGTACTGAGTAAGGCAGGTACTCGGGGAAGGTACGTACGAGCTCGAAACCCTAGAAGGAAAATAGGTACCTCGAGCGTGGAACATCGGCAACCTAAGACGAAACTACCTGTGATCGCCGAACTAGAGAGAGGATTGCAAGTCACTCCCAGAAGTCCAAGGACTAAAGTGCCGAGCTGATAAAAGACCTCGACACTACGATAAGTCCCATTCGCCTCCTCGGCATGGGCATATAAGTCCTAGTCGCCTCCTCGACATGGGCATACAAATCCCAATCGCCTCTTCGGCATGGGCAGACAAGCCCTAATCGCCTCTTCAGCATAGGCAACTCATCTCCTCATGCCTAAGGCATAGACAACTCAGGTATAAGCCCTACGATGTCTAGCCCATTTCGGCATATAATGAAAAAGTTGAACCCCAGCTAAGGGACAACTAACATTACTAAGTAGCCCGTGCGTAGACAGGTCGGGTATATGCCCTACAATGTCCGCGCACCTCGGCGTACATCATGCGAAGTTACCCCTACTCGTAGTCCAGTTCGGTAGCTCAACGGTTCGGGGTAACCTATACCTATTTGGTTAATTCGCCAGTTAGGGAGTTATTTGCACTTGGAATATTTTTGAAAAAAAAGACAACTGTATTTCATTAATATGAGGAGTTCGCTACAAAAAAAAAAAAGAGATTTTCTACTATAGACCGAGCTCGCAGGCCCGGGGTATACAATATGGAAGATCTACTCATCTGGGTGCTCTTCGCCCTTGCCCGAGGCTTCAACACGTGGGTCAACCCTTTCATCAGCACCGACCTCTTCGATATTGCCGAGCAGCTCGCCGTCACTCTCCACCTCGGAGTCTGGGTCCTCGGCAGCTTCAACAACCATTTCATCTATGACTCTTGAGGTGGTGATGGCGCTTAGATCGAGTTGTAGAAATTCACGTCGGGTCAGCCACTTGCTAAGCTTGAAGCCCTTACGGTAGCCTTCCGTCCCCGCCTCGGTCAGCTCTTCCTGGAACTCCTCTGAGGTCTTATACTCCTCGACGGCCATTGTCTTGAACTCCTCCCCTGCTTGAAGGAGTATCTCAGTCTGCTCCTTCCCGAGGCCCTCAAGATTCTCTACCTCCCGCTGTAATGTAGCTTTCTGCCTCGCGTGCTCCTCCTTCTCAGTCATCAACAGTGTGATCAATTCTTTCTGAGCCCGCACATCCTTCTTCAGCTGGTTATTCTCACTGCGAACCTGGTTTAACTTGGTGTGAGCCTCACGAGACGAGGACTCAACTGCAATAGCTCGCTTCAGGTGCAGTTCGGACTGGTACGTCAGAGCGTGCACAACGGAGTTCACCTGCCAAGAGAAGAATAGCAGTTAGTACAAGAAAAGTTCTCAAGTACATAATTGAAGAAGTAAAGACAACTTACCACCATACAATGAGTAGCCGTTCGAGCTCCGAGCTGTGCGACCGACAACTCGGCCCAGTTGGCGACCTCCTCGGCATATACCGCGCTCTTGCTCTTGAGAAGGCTGTACTTCGGAGTCAGGATGCTCCAAATTGCTCCCTTGCTGCCCGAAGAAGTGGCAGCCGCTGGGGCGGGCTCCGAAGATGTTGCCTCCTCGGGCGCGCGGGGCGGGGATACCCTTCCTGGTTCCTCCTCGACCAGATCGATCACTGGAGGTTGCGTAGTGGAGGGCCGCTCGGGCTCAGGGACAACAACCTGCAGAGACTCAATGCGAGGTCTTTTGATAGCTCGCTTCTTCTTCCCCTTCATCCTTCCAAGGAGCTCATTCGCAAGAAGTTTCATAGTTGTTGTAACAAAAGCAAAACGTCAGAAATAGTATCTAAATAAAACAAAGGCAACACAAAAGTAATGACCTACCAGGACTCATACCAGCTTGTACGAGCTTGTCTTCGGTCACATAGACCGCGAACTTGAGACCGAGCTCCGCCCAGGACTAAAGCACTTCCCTTGTCTTCAAGTCCAGCTTGACACCAGAATCTTGGATGGCCGCCCTCTAGTGGGTTAAGAAAGGCCACCCCTCAGTGTTACAGACCAAAAAGTAGCCCCTTTTCCAAGTTGAGACCTTGTTTGGGAGTTCGTGTAAGAGCTTGTAGCCCGGACGTGGGGACAAATAGTAAGTCTGCCTATGCTCAGGTAGAACACAGGAGGAGTTATTCTTTATTGAAAGGATTGAAGAAAAAATGTCAAGATCAAGGGGCAGGTTATAGTCATGGAAGAGGGAGATGGTTCCTACTATGTTGCGGATGGAGTTCGGGTGCAACTGATCTATGGTAATGTTGAAGAGTTTAATGACTTCGACGATCAGAGGTTGAAGTGGAAGACGAAGATCAGCTGTGAGCTTCTCCTCGAAGATCACGATCTCGTTGTGACCGTGCTCCCAGGGAAAGTTACCTATCGGAAGACTATAGACAAGGTCACTCGGAAGCCTATACTGAGCTACTAAGGCCCGGAGCCTATCCACTATCATCGTCGATGGGCCAAAGTTATCTAGCTGTCGACCTCGGTGCGAGGTGGACGCCAGACCTCCGGAAGCCTTTCGTGCCTCCCGGGGTGATTCCACCTCAGGAGGACCGCGGACCGCTTCTTGACCCAAA